ATAAACGAGCTAATAACTTGAAGAATATGTTAGCTCCTAGTGTTTTTCCTATTAGTTCTTCTTCTGCACTTCAAAAACCATTTGGTACTTCGATATGTGTTTTTTTTCAACTGTGGTCTTCCACATGTTCCACATGTAAGTTTCAAAGAAGAAAGACTGAAAAATGTGCAGGTTCATATAGGAATAAAACATATTCTATTAAAAAGCACATACAATGTTCTACGTTTGTGATCTATTTGTTACAATGTGGGTGTGGAGCCCAATATGTGGGCCGCACCACTTGTAAACTTCATGTGAGACTGTTAGAACATTTCAATAACATAAAAAAAAGGAAATCAGATGATAGTGTCCCAAAACGTTGTAATTCCTGCCCCGCTTTCCGTTGGGATCGTTTGTTGGCATTTGTCATAGATCAAATTGTTTTAGGTTGGAGGGGAGGTAATAAATGACAAGAACGTATTTGACAAGAAGCCTTTTGGATTTATACCTAAAAAACTTTAAAACAAGGTCTAAATGCAGAAATAGATCTTCAAGGTCTTATATGATTTTCTCTTTTAATTCAGTTATATACATGTGGTTATTATTGGTCTGTACTACCACGCAAGTCTCTATTGGATTAAACTGTGTTTTTTTTCACTCATATACATAATTTCATTTTTATCATGTTTATTTTTATTTTTTATCTTTTATATTTATTTTTAATTTAATTTTCATTTGAATTTTTATTTTATTTTAATTTGTATTGATTCCTTGATATTTTTTTTCATTTTTTATTTTTTGTATTCATTCATTTTATTTATTTATTATTATTATTATCTATTTATTTATTTGTTTATTATTTTTATTTTTCTTTAATAATTTTTTATTTTTTTTATTTGTTAAGTCTGGATTTTTCCATTTCGATGGATTCTATCCAGCTCCATTTCTGAGCTTTTCATTTAAATATACACAGTGTATGACTTGATACATGAATGGTATTTGATGCCTGTGTTCTTTAATCTGGTTTCGTTATCTGTTTAAGGCGACTGTTTGCCTCATTTGTTTTAATTCTCTTTCCCAGTCTTAGGAGTTGTTCGTTTTTGCACGAGCGCATGTTTTCTATTCGGGAGCATGCGCATGCGCAATACATATCCTACAGTTGAACGCTATACTAGACTGATCCATCTCTCTTGCTTTTTCTCTCTTTGTTAATGTCCAGCCATTGTAAGGCCCAGTTATATGTTATGCCCATTCACAAGAAAGATAGCAAGGAGGAGTTGGGCAACTATAGGCCAGTAAGCCTTATCTTAGTAGTGGGGAAAATAATGGAAACCATGTTAAGGGATAGGATTGTTGAATATCTACAATCACATGGTTTTCAAGATCGGACACAACATAGGTTTACTTGAGGGAGGTCATGCCAAACTAATCATGTTGATTGTTTTGATTGTGTAACTAAAATAATAGATCATGGTGGTGCTGTAGACATTGCTTACCTAGATTTCAGTAAGGCTTTTGACACTGTTGCTTTTAAATAAACTGCAATCTTTAAGTTTGGATTCCAATATTGTTGAATGGGTAAGGCAGTGGCTGAGTGACAGGCAACAGGGGGTGGGGTACCTAATGGATCTATACTTGGACCCATTCTCTTTAATATTTTTATTAGTAATATTGCAGAAGGTCTTGATATTAAGATATATATTTTTGCTGATGATATTAAGATATATAACAGGGTTGATGTTCCAGGAGGGATAAGCCAAATGGCAAATGATTTAGGTAAACTAGAAACATGGTCAGAAACATTGTCAGAGTTGTGGCAATTGACATTTAATATGGATAAGTGCAAGATAATGCATCTTGGAGATCAAAACCCAAGGGCCTAGTATAGAATATTTGAGAGTCCTAACCTCTACATCTGAGAAAGGAATTTAGTGGTGATTATTTTTGATGACTTAAAGGTAGGCAGACAATGTAATAGAGCAGCAGGAAATGCTAGCAGAATGCTTGGTTGTATAGGGAGAGGTATTAGCGGTAGAAATAGGGAAGTTCATTAATAACTGAGATTCCAGATAATAGATTGAAAGTTATACTTAAGATTTATGTGAGTTGTCCTCCAAGAGATCGGTATTAGAGTCCAATTAATAAATGGTAAACAGTCTGTTTTCCAGAATCCACTAGGGGATGAAGCACAATCCTTTTAATAGTTCAAAGGGTTAGGAAGGCTTGTGAGTGCAACTTGTGTAGCCGGCGTCTAAACACGGACGTAGGTCCCAAAATCACCAAGCGGTTTGTATCTGAGGCGGTCTCTCTAAATAGTGTCAGAGAGCCGCGTCAGAAGGGGGCGGGGCCGGCTCCGCATACCGGAAATGCCGAACCCGGAACAGATACCGCATGACACTGACAGAAAAGCCCTCTTGAAATTTGTTACATCTTTTCTCTGGTTTAATAAAATGTAGATCATAGAAAACATGTAAGGGATTTACGGTTTGTTACTTGTGCCCTATTTCAATTTGTAATTGTATTGGTGTAAATTCCCATCATCCTCATCTGTTTGAAGCATTTTTTTCCATTATTTGTGTGAATGTGAACAATGGCACTTTCTTTATTGAATATTGTAGCGGATGGCACTGGGCTGTCCTGTGAATTGCATAGGTTTTAACTGTATTCGTGTAAATGGCAGGTTATATGTGTAGAAATGTGTTGTATTCATCTGATTGTTAGGTAGAATCATTCTAACAACTAAGATAATGAAACGACCGAACAGTCAGACCTCCCCGGTGTGAAGTGTGCCTTCAGTTACATTGTTACGAACGGGTAATTGACAAGCTGGGCAGTAAGTCCTTTGTTCTCGGGGGTGGCCGCCATCCGGGAAACGAACATGTGGCGGCGGCCATTTTAAAACTCCCGAACAGCGGTGTTTTGCCGTTGAGTGTCTGGAACCCAAATCGGACACTCAACTAGGCGAACACCGCTGAGACCTCCACAAGCCCGGTCCGTTCGTTTCCAAACTACCGAATGGCCCCTCATTCGGTAGACAGAAACACCCGAATGAGGGGATTCAGACGAACCCTCCCTGGTCTCTGTAACTGGAGGCTTTCGTGCAATTTGTTCCCTTATGCCAGGACCGACCGCAGGGCCCCATCGCACGGAACCCAATTCGGCTGTTCCCTCCAGCGCGGTCGGTCTTTTTATTCCCTCCATAAATTTCTGATCTGGGTGATTTTTGGATATGTTGTTCACCCAGATCAGGGCTACCAGGGGATGTATCATTTAAAGAGGTACCCCTAGGTTTAGGGGTACATCCAGAAATGGGGGGAATTGGTGTCCTGGATAAGGGGATTATGAGTCAGGCTGAAGGGAGGAGATGTGTGGGAGGTTACCAGAACAGGATTGGCTACTATACTAATGAATGGAAATCCCTACCTTGCATGGGAGCATGCTTTATAAGGCCACTGTGTGAATAAAGATTTAGTTCTGCTCCTGATACTGTGTGTCGTCCAGTTATTGTGAGTGCTGTTGGGATACTGCTGTATAGTTGTGTCTGCTGGATACTTTGCCTATGGATTTATAATTACTTGTTCCTGAGCCTCACTGGGATCTACAAGTGGAGATAGGCTATGAAATACTAGCTCTCCGCTACAAATATTACTTTGAATTTTTTTCGAGTGCACATGCATACAATTTATGTAACACCCTAGACGGTGTACTCTTTCTATAATCCAGAATTGTCTGCCTCTCAAGAAAAATCCTGTTGGAGTCCATAAGAAACAGTATTGGAACTGACAAACTGATGAGATGGGCAAATACTGATTTTGAAGCAAGCATACCATAACCGACCAGCAGATGTCACAAATATTTGTACCCAGTATACACTAAGGAGTCTGTTTATTCTGCTATTTTTCTAAGACAGACAGGTGAATGTTTTTCTCTCCTATGGAATTAATTGGAAAAGGAGTTCTAAAATCATGAACACTAAAGGGAATCCCTCAATTCTAGAACATGAAAGGAAGGTCCTCATTAAAACACAAAACAAGATCCATTTCTAAAGAAGATAAAAGAAAGCACCCACCTCTCTACAACATTAAAGTGAAGGTCTACTTCACAACTTAGCATTAAATAAACAGCCTGGAAATGAGACACGCTTATTATGCATACAATTCACAACTTTCAAAACATCATTCACCTGTAATTGAACATGAGATCTATGGAGGAAATGTATTTGTTTTCTTAATTTTATTTTACAATTTATGATAAAAACAGTTTCTTTGACACCCTATACAATGCTTTCTTCATATCCTTGTTTCTCAACGTATATATAATCGGGTTTAGCAGCGGAGTTATGACAGCAAACAGTACTGCAGCTGCTCTCTCTTGATTTAATGAGTCTTGTGTAGATGGTCGCATATATATAAATAAAGCTGTTCCGTATTGGAGGGAAACTGCTGTGAGGTGAGCACTACAGGTGGAGAATGCACGTTTCCTTCCTTCTGTTGTTTGTATCTTCATGAGAATTTTCCCAATGAAGAGGTAGGAGAGAAGTGTTAGAAATAAAGTTATTATGGTTAAAGTTCCTGTTACCATATTGAGTAGTTGAATATTAAGGAAAGTATCTGCACATGCCAAACTCAATAATGGTTTAATATCACAGAAGAAGTGGCTCACTAAGTTTGGACCACAAAATGGAAGCCTTGAGGTCATAACAGAATGTAAGAGTGCGTGGAAAAATCCAGTAAACCAAGAAATGAAAGTAAAATTTATACAAACCTTGCTGTTCATGATGTTGGTATAACGCAAAGGATATCCAATTGCTACATATCGGTCATAAGACATTGCTGAATAGAGAATAGCTTCAGTGCTTCCAAAGAAATGAAAAAAGTGCATTTGAGAGATACAGCCAGCAAATGAGATACTTGTCTTAACTGATAAGAAATTTACAAGCATTTTAGGTACAGCTACTGATGAATAACAAATATCAAGAAATGACAAATTCCACAAAAAGAAATACATGGGAGTGTGAAGACTATTGTCCATGAGGGTAACCACCATGATAGAGATATTTCCTACCAATGTTAGTATGTAGAGCATCAAAAAACAAACAAATAGGATCACCTTAAGTTCTGAGACATCAGTCAGTCCAAGCAAGATGAACTCAGTCAAAGATGATTGATTTTCTAAGGTCTTTGAATGCTGGAGGCCTGCAGCATAAATACATATATAAACAAGCAAACATAAATATTTTACTGTAATTAAAAAAAAGTTAGTGCTTTGCATTAATATTGATATCAATATTTTTTTCCTTTTATGACGTCTGATTTTTATAGTATCAGTTTTACATAACTTGTGAAAATAAAACTATCATTATGGCCAATGTGCAGTAGAAACTGAAAACACAAATTGTGACAGACCCTCTGTCTCTGAATTTTAAATGTTTAAACTCTTTGTTCGCCTAACAGTTCGTATGGAAAAGATTTACCTTTATTTTTGCTAATGGCCGTTCGAATAATGAATTATCTCCCGAACGACCGACCACCCAGACCGGAAGCATGGCCCTTATTAACACAAGCTCCCTAACATCCTCAGTGATCAACTGGGTGGTCAGCGTTCGTTTGCACGAGCACGAGGCGGCAGCCATCTTAAGATACGAATGCAGCAGTGTTTTGTCGTTGGGTGTATGGAACTAAAATCGGACACTCGACGGCACAAACACCGCTGGGACTTCCACTCCTCGTTCTGTTTGACAGTTATTGAACGAACGGAGCGCAGTTCGTTAGATACAATATACCGAACCAGTTACATTGAATGCTCATGTGTACGAACAGCCACATTCGACTCTTTTAATGGATTTTGACTGTACGAAAGAGCCGCACAGCCTAATCCTCTGGAACTATTTTGGTCATGAAAACATGTGGGTGGTCGGTCAAAAGATACTTCCACCTAACTCTTAAACCCCTGAACCGATCTGGGTGATTTTTTAATATGTTGTTACCCCAGATCAGGGCTATCAGGGGATATATATTTTATGAGGTTCCCATATGTTTCAGGGTGTTTGTAAAAATGGGTAAAAACTTGTATTTTTCGTTTGGAGGTAATTGAGTTGATACAGTAATTAACTCAATTATCTCCCAAACAGAGGGGAGGGCCTGTGTACAGTATCTGGGAGTGTTTAAGTGGAAAACTCTGTTTTTATTGGATTGTGAATTTCATGTCCTGTGCCCCATAAGGTCCACCTGGGCGGGAACCTTGTGGGGAAAACTGTATAAAAGACCAGCATGTGCCATTAAACCTTCAGTTCTTACTTTACCCTCAATCTAGAGTCTTGTCTCTTATTGGGGGAAACTGCTATAAAGCTATCACACTAGCTCTTGTAAGAGCTTCTCTACTTGGATGCCTGCTGGAATGCTGTGAATACCCCTCACACTTGGGAGAAGGACACCCTCCAGCAGTGAGAACCCCTCTACTCATCGGGGTAACCGCTACACAAATCAAATGATGACTTTGACACACCTTGTAATTAACAGAAATGGAAATGCTAGAAGCGCTAGAATAGTGGGAGTGGGAAGAACAATTAGAAAATAATACCTCACCATCCAAATCTCTACTATATTCAAAAAACCTAGTGGTTTAAGAAAAGATTCCCATCTGTTTGCTGGACCCCCTCACCAGCACCATCAAAATTACCAGTGACAAATATACATACAACAGTGGAGCTCAAACTTCAAATTTTCGTTGGATGTCAGGTTCTCATAGAAAGAAATTAAACAAACACATAATAGTGAAGCACCTTAGGGATAACTGATTAGCATCATATAGGGCTTTATGACTCATTATATAGTACAAAATAGAAAGCTCCTTATTGTTAGTATAAGATGACTGGGTATGAAATATATGATAAATAAAATATATAGCATTTATTAACAAATTGCTGGGATTGTATACCAAAACAGCTGCACAGAATATGGTTTGGACCTGCCTAAGTCCAGATGGGAGATACCACAAACGGTAGACTGACAGGAATAAGATACTGTGGGACTTCAAGATCCAGACAGACAAGCAGGTGCTGGCCAACCAACCCAACATCGTGGTGGTAGACAAGGGACGAAAGACTGCAGTCGTGCTGGATGTGGCAATACCCAGTGACTATAACATCAGGAAGAAGGAACATGTGAAGGTGGAGAAATACCAAGGACTGAAAGAAGAACTAGAAAGGATGTGGAAAGTGAAAGTAGTCCCAGTTGTGATAGGAGCACTTGGCTGTGACTCTCAAGTTGGGGTGGTGGCTTTAACAGATTCCAGGTGGGACATCTGAGATCGCTGTCCAGAAGAGCGCAGTTCTAGGAACAGCTAAGATACTGCACAGAACCCTCAAACTTCCATGCCTCTGGTAGAGGACCCAAGAATGGGGAATAAACATACTATCCAGAAGGGTTGAAAAAATCAATAATAATAATAATAAAAAAAAAAAAAAAAAAAAAATATATATATATTCAAGGCTGGGCCTGTAGTTGGGTCCCCTTTTAACCAGGTGGTCCCCTTTTAACCACCTCCAATTCTCTCTCACATACCTTTATTGGTCTGGTGAGTTGAGCACGACTACTTCCGGTGACTGACAAGTTGCCATCTTGCTGTTCTTACCTGTGTCCTCGTGGTCCAGATTCCTGGCTTCCTGTTCATCTGGTTCTACTTGTCAGGATTACAAGTTGATCTAGCACGCAGAACTGTGTCACACCTAGGACTAAGAATGATGTATAACCGGACCTTAGAATGGCCAGACGTAACGTATCCAAGAATAGTCAAAATACTAGCCGAGGGCAGGAACACAGAATCAGACACAATGAAGAGGGAAAGTCAAAAGTAAAGGATACCAGAATTCAGTGAAGTCAAAACGAAGCCAAAGTCAAATACCAGAAAATCAAGATCAGGAACGTACTCTCGGATTACCATCAGTATGAAACCATGACAGGGCAATGAGCAAAAGGAGAATTGGGTTTAATTACCCCTCCTGTGGATCCGATTGGTTGTAACCAGCCTTTGACCCCAAAAGCAAGTACCAGGTTTCCGTTTGCATGATTGATGCTCAGCCCAAACCCTCCTGTGGATCTGATTGGCCATGACCGGCCTTTGACCCCAAAAGCAATTACCAGGTTTCCATGTGCATGATTGCTGCTCTGCACAACTTTTCCTGTCAGGACGGTAATGCTGCTCAGCACAACTTTTCCTGTCAGGACGGTAAATGCTATTAACCACATTTTTATGTGCGGATGAATACGTGACATTACCCCCCACCTGAAGACTGCCCACAAGGTAGACAGGACCAGGTTTGAGAGGAAACTTGGCATGAAAAGAACAAATTTTACAGCAAGCATGGATATGAGAACCCGAAACCCAGGAACGGTCAGCAGGCCCATACCCCCTCTGTGAAGTTCAGAATATTTTTATCCATCTAATGTTCCCTTATTCCATGAAATAATATCAACAGTAATCCAAAGGTTCCAATGTTGCTGGTGTCGCATAATAAGCCACACATGAGCCAATGCTTAATGCTGGAACAGGACTGGTTTAATGGCAAAACAGGCATTCAATTTATACAACACATAACTCCTCCTCTGAGCCAGCGAGATAATTGAGTTTTGGAATCATAGTAAACTCAATTAAACTCAATTATCTGCTGGCCAGAAAAAGTTAACATTTTCAAAAAAATATGAAATTTCCAAAAAATACATAAACCCCCTCACAAAAGTCATATCCCTGGGTAGCTGATCTTTGTGGGAGAAACATTAACATTTTAGCCAAATCTGTTTGGTAGTTTTCGAAATGGCACGGTGTGAAAAGTTAACAGGTCTGCCACAGCAAGAGGCGGTCTCCGTTTGTGTGGATTCATACGAAAACCGCAATAGGTGAAATAGAGATGGTTTGTGTAGAATGCTTCTGTCGTTCGTCTGTTTCAAACTCCCGAACAGTGCTGGCAAATAGAAAGTAGGGGACTTTCATATAGATTCGTACGAGTGTGTTGCCGAAAACAGTTCCTGGCACTCAACGACCAAGTCCCGCTGGCCGTGTTCGGGAGACAAGATGGCCGCCGTCCATTGTTCTCACCATGTGCATTCGTATGCACGCAATAGCAGCCACCTAGGAGCATTCAATGAGTCCGCAGTTTTTGTCCAATTTGAAAGCTCCGGTGCCTGGCTCTCCGGTCGTACCATGCTCTCTGGTGCTGCTAGGCCACCTGGAGGTTTTCCCTTACTGTCTGAGCCAATTCCTCCAGTGTCTCAGCTCCAGCACATAAGGCACAATCGGGGTCCCCTTGATCTCTGTCTGGCCCTCCCAATGATCTTTAATAAGGTCTAGGGGGTCCCCTCACGCGCCTCCCGTACAATAGCTCAAAGGGTGAAAATCCTGTTGATTCCTGGGCATCTCCCGGTATGCAAAGAGGAGGTGCGGCAGGAATCGCTCCCAGTCTTTGTAGGCGCCCGTGAACATCTTCAGAATTTGCTTCAGAGTCCCGTTAAAGCGCTCACAGAGATCGTTAGTCTGAGGATGGTATGGGGAGCTTGTCAGGGGTTTAATCCTGCAGACATTCCATAGCAACTGAGTCAATTCTGCAGTGAACTGCGTATCCCGGTCTGATAAATTCTCTTTCGGAAATCCCACTCAAGAGAAAATCTTGACCAGGGCATTAGCCACAGTCTCAGCGTGGATGTTGGAGACAGCTACGGCCTCTGGGTAACGGGTGGCGTATTACACTACGGTAAGTATATAGCGCTTACCGGAGCGGTTAGGCTGAGCTTTTCTTTGAGATCTACTGCTACCCTCGTGAAGGGTTCCTCTATGATGGGCATCGGGACCATCTTGGCTTTAGGGTTGTCTCCCTTTTTACCCACTCTTTGGCACATGTCATAGGTCTGGCAATAACTCCGGACGTCATCAGATACCCCAGGCCAGAAAAACTTCTGAGTTACCCGGTGTAACGTCCGGCATATCCCCAAATGCCCTGCTAATGGGACATCTTGCCCTATTCGCAATAACTCCCTACGGTATTTCTTTGGGATTACCAGCTGGCATTTTTGCTGTGTTCCGGGTGCCTTGACCCAGGTCTCCGTAAGCCTGTACAACTGGCCACCCTCCCAGACTAGCTGCTCCCCTCCTAGTAAAATTCACAAGAACACAACCCACCCACCAGGTAGGCCCATTGTGTCTG